ACACACCATCCTGCTCTGCCACTGCCAGCCCCTCGCCCACAAAAACAAACTTGACCCCGATACACTCGCTCTGCCTCACCTGGGACGTGGCCAGTGATTCATTCCCAGTGCCAAAGCCCCGTGTTGACATTGAAAGGGGTGTTATCGCGGGCGCCGGTACCGCGGGGTGAGGGTGGACCTGTTGGTATAAGAACAACACCGCGGCGCTGCCTGCACCCGCACAGCCCAGCCAACACCACCGACATGAAACACCTCTTACTCCTCGCCATGCTCTGCCTCTCCCTGGCCAGCGGCTTGAAAAGGTAAGGGGGTCCCCAGGGTGTCACCAGATCCCTGGGCTCTCAAAGGGGCTTCACTTCCGAGGTCCTGCCAGCACTGAGTGTGTCGGTGATGAATGGGAAGAGCTGAGCTGCCCTGGCACGGGCACTCTGCGGCTCCACGGGAGCTCAGGGACCAGGAAGGGACCATGCAAGGGCAACACAAAGACCACGCAGGGCTTTGCTAGTTTGCTCCCATCAGCTCCGTGGCCATCTCCATCCCTCAGTGGGCTGCAGCGAGGTCTGTGGGATGAGGTGCCAGTTGTAGCCAAGGGCTTTGTAAACAGACAAGGCAGAAAACACCGGCATGAAGACCCATCTCCCAGACTGAGGGTCATTTTCCATCAGTCATGTTGAGCTCCTGCCCAACCCATTGCTGTGAGCAGGCCGATGCCAGGGCGTGTGGGCTCTCCTGCCAGCTCTGCCCTTGAATTGCTGCCTCCTAAAACAGATCACAGCCCCTGTTTCACTGTGTCTTGGCTAGAAAACACTGCAGCAGGGGATGTGTGATGCTGGACGTGCATCCTGGTGGCACTGGGACACTCAGGGGGGACATAGGGGCTGCCCAACATCATCAGCACCTGCAGCCCCAGGTGAGTGACCAGGATCTTTGCTTCCCCAGGGTGACCCTGCGGCGGCACCGCTCCCTGCGGAAGTTGCTGCGGGAACGTGGGCAGCTCTCCCACTTCTGGAAATCCCATCGGCTCGACATGATCCAGTACAGCCAGGACTGTGCTGCCTTCACGGAGACCAACGAGCCCCTCATCAACTACCTGGACGTAAGCGTGGTGCCACCCAGGGCTGCGGGGTGCTGAGTGCCAGCAGCGTGCCGCAGACATCCCCAAAGCACGTTAGTTTGCATGAGTGGTCCCCAAAGCTCAATTCTTCCCGTAAAGCCCACGCCTGCTAACGGAGCACGCCTGCAGCCAGTGCCCCGGCGTGCCAGGGCTCGCTGCCTGCCCGCTCCTGCCTGGTCCTTTGTTCCCGGGAATGTGATGACGAGAGGGGACAAGGGACTGCATTCATGGTGGGTGCTGCCAGCCCTCTCCCTGCCTGCTGCGCTCCCTGAGCCCGCAGTGCTCTCAGGCACATGCTGGGGAGAGAGATTTCCTCCAAACCTAACACGTATCACATTCATTAGAGAAGATCCCACCACAAAAGACCTGGAGCCAGAGGTGGAGGGGGTTCCTCAGGCTCTTCCCATGAGGGTCCTGTCCCCAAAGCCCCCACCACCATCTGCATCCCACTGACGAGGTATCCAGCAGGAAGAGGATGGTGCCCACACCCACCGTCCTGCCTTTTGTTCTCACCTTGCTTTGTTGTTCCTTAAATATTTGACTCCTTTATTTCACCTGGCACAGTGCAGTCGTGATAGATCAAACACTGCCCTGGTGCCAGCCATCCCCTGCACCGAACCCCATCAGGTCTCTGCAGATGCCCCATTGCCAGTATTTCCTGGTGTGCCAACAGCTCTGCTCTTTGCTAGATGGAGTATTTCGGGCAGATCTCCATTGGGACCCCACCCCAGAACTTCACCGTGGTGTTCGACACGGGCTCCTCCAACCTCTGGGTGCCATCCGTCTACTGCGTCAGCAAAGCCTGTGGTGAGTAGGGGCTCCTCGACTGGCTGGTCCCCCCCACCAGCTGCAGTGGGACCCCCAGGGTGGGCCCAGAGAAGCTGTGGGGTCACCAGCACACACAACCCAGGGACTTTGGGGGGATCTCCCCACCCAGCTGAGCCCTCCAAGGCACACACAGAGATAACAGAAATCTGGGGGCGAGCGGGGGGAGCCTCAGCGGGTTTGTTTGCTCAGGCACAGGCGGGGATCACACCACCAGCACCATCAGCCCGTGGGAGATATCAGACCTGCTCTTTAGGCCATTCTTACGGGAGAGCCTTTAAATAAACAAGCAAAGATGATAGCACGTGGCACAGCTTGGCAGCCAGGGGCTGGGTGGCAGGAACATGGTGGGCAGAGACCTCGGCATGGCTCCAGGCTGGCTGCCCAGGGGCTCAGCAGTGACAAGCACCCAGCTTGTGTGGGTGTCAGCGATCAGCCAGCCCTGGTGAGTCCAGCTCTGCTACCCTGGGACATGGAGCATCTCCAAGCAGCCCCAGAGCTCCTCAGGTGCTTCCAACAGCCAAGGTGGGCTGAGGAAAGCATCTGGGTACAGCAATGCCCATGGGGCTGCTTCTGTCTGTAGGATCTGCTGATCTTCAGGTCTCATAAAAATATTGCATGAGCTAATCCCGCTCCCCTTAACGAACCCAGCGCCTCGCAGGCAGATTGAAACAGGGAAGGTTTTATCCCTCCTCAAAACACCAGCATGCCCTGTTGTCTCATGAGCAGCTCTCTCCCTCGGCAGCATGCCCGTGATGCAGCATTTCGGTGATGCCACGTTGCCCCATCAATTTGCTCCAAGGCTGGTTGCTGCTGCCAGCCGGGGTGGGAGCTCCTGGCATCCATGGCCATGCAGATAAACAGTATTTCTGCTGACAGCTCCTCTCTCCTTCCCCAGCTGAGCACTCCAAGTTCCATCCATCCTGGTCCAGCACGTACCAGGCGATAGGAACTCCCTTCTCCATCCAGTACGGGACCGGCAGTTTGACGGGGGTCATTGGATCTGACCAAGTAGTTGTGAGTCATCTTTGGTTTCTCCTTCTCTGGACAACATACCTGGGACTTGGCTATAGACTCAGCATCACCATTGAGCCTCCTCTTCCTACTCCTTCTCCTCCCTGCAGGTCGAGGGCCTCACCGTGAGCAACCAGCAGTTTGCAGAGAGTGTCAGTGAGCCGGGAAAAGCCTTCCTGGACGCGGAGTTTGATGGGATCCTGGGGCTGGCTTACCCCTCGCTGGCTGTGGACGGGGTCACCCCCGTCTTCGACAACATGATGGCACAAAATCTGGTGGAGCTGCCCATGTTCTCCGTCTACATGAGCGCGTACGGACACAGCTTTGCTCCGGGATGTTGCTTAGACTCAAGCACCGCTTTTAGGGGATTGGGGCTGCTAAAATAAAGGTGTTTTATGGAGATAGTAAAGGGGGTTTTGGTGCTGTGCTGAGCACCACAGACCTCAGGCCTTACAGGAATGAAGCCAATGACCCTAAGGGTTTATGGGAAGCGAGTGGGTATAAATCCACCCGTTTAAAATGTGATGTGCAAAGTAAAGGAGAAAATCCCTCATGTCTTCTCCTCCTCCCTGCAGGAACCCCGAATCCTCCCTGGGAGGAGAGCTGCTTTTTGGTGGCTTTGACCCCTCCCGCTTCACAGGGACCCTGAACTGGGTACCAGTCACCCAGCAAGGATACTGGCAGATCCAGCTGGACAAGTGAGTGTTGCTGGGCAGGGAAGGGCTGGGCTGGGGCAGAGAAGCAGGACAAATCCCTCCTCATCCTTCTCTCTTTCCTCCTCCTCCAGCATCCAGGTGGGTGAGACAGTGACTTCAGGGAAGGGCTGGGTTGGGGCAGAGGAGCAGGACAAATCCCTCCTCATCCTTCTCTCTTTCCTCCTCCTCCAGCATCCAGGTGGGTGAGACAGTGACTTTCTGCTTGAATGGTTGCCAGGCCATCGT